CTTTTTGTCAACTGCCCTAATAACATTATCACAAAGATCTAACGGTGCCGAGGTGGTACTATGGTGGTTCCTGAAGCCCGATTGACATGACGATATTATTTTTAGTTCCTCTATGTAATGGACAAGTTGTTGCTGTATGATTTTTTCCAAAATGTTCGATAGCACCGGCAACAAACTAATGGGTCTAAGATGCTTAAGTTCAGTAGGTTTAGATATTTTAGGGACAGGTATAATTAGAGCCAGCTTCCACAGCTTAGGGTGGTAGCCATTTTCCAAAGATGATATGGAAGATTATGTGGGTGATATGGAAAAAAGTTACGGGAAGACTTACTTTGACCATGGTTAGTGAGAGGTTGTCAATTCCTTTTGCATCTGATTTGATATCTTTGATTGCCTTCAATATTTCCACCGGCTCGACAACTCGCAAAGAAAAGCGATTTCGATTGTCCAATTTGTTGCTGTCATAAAACCGACATACATTTTCTGAGACACTGTCGTAACTATAAACTGACATAAAATAATTGTTAATACTATTTGCATCGGCTAGCTCATCTGGTATTGTTTGTTTTGATCGAGATTTTATGTTAAGCCTATTCAGCCCAGACCATAAAGTTTTTAGATTATTTTGATCAGTTAGATTCTGAATGTACTCTTTCTTTTTAATTCGAATTTTATGTAGTGCCTTATTCCTCAGCTGTTTGAATTTATCAGGGTCTTCAAGTGATTTACTAGCTTTATATTTGGTAAAAGCTGAATCTTTTTCTTTGATAAGCTTTTTCATTCCCTCATCCAACCAAGGAGATGACGGTTTGTTAACACGTAGTGTCTTAATCGGAGCATGTTTGTTATAAATATTTGTGAGGATTGTCGTCAGATGTTCCACTTTAGCATCTATGTTATTCATGAAATATAAGTCATCAAGATTAGAGGTACACAGATCTGAAATGAAAGCTGCCTCATCAAACTCACGGAAGTCTCTCACGGATATGCATTTTTGATGCATCTTGCCAGCACTAAGTTTCAGAGTACACATAACAAGCTTATGGTCAGATATTTCATGAGCATCAAGTACCAAACAGCCAGTGACAAGTTCCGGCTGATTAGTGAATAAATAAAAAATGAATAATCAAATATAAAGTTTAATACGAAATACTTGTTTCTATTGACTGTCTGAACATTAAATGTTCCCGCGAAAAAAAATTAACCACCATTAGTACGAGCGTTGCAGATTCCGAGCTAGCTTTCACAGTTGACGTCATCAGTAGGTATCGCCTTAAGGAACAAACTAATTAATGCAAGGGTGTTCCCTTTGATGTATCAACTGCTGTCTGCATGTGTAGGAAGGTACACAGAACCTCTTGAGCTTTAGCGGGAACAATAGCTTGATGAAGGATGAAGAGAAAAAGGCGTAAAGCCGTGTACGCGGTGCTAGAATTTCATCAATTACTAATTAGCTCAGAATGTGGATGCATTGATGCAAAGGGAATTGACGGTATATCACTGTCAATTAACTTTGCTTACTAGTTACCAGGGAGGTCTTTTAAGTTATGCATATAGAAACGTACTAGGCCGCGCGGATCGAACGTCAGTACTGAATCCCTCAACAAGCACTAGAGACGTGGCTAGAGAAGTGCAAGTATCAAAAACTAAAGTGTGGCAAACGCTGCGTGAAGAGGGGCTGTATCCGTTTCACGTCCAACGTGTACAAGCCCTTCAACCTGACGATTTTCCGGCAAGAGTGCGGTTTTGTGAGTGGTTGTTGCATCAACATGACAATAATCCGGACTTTTTGAAGTGCATATTGGTGGCAGACGAATCTACGTTCACGCGTAATGGGGTGAGTAACTTTCGCAACACTCATGTTTGGTCAGTAGAAAATCCGCACGCTGTCCGTCGGGCACATTTTCAACAAACATTTTCGGTGAATGTTTGGGCTGGCATGGTGAACGGTATGCTCATTGGACCATTTATTCTCCCAAATCGATTGGACGGGATGCAATACCTAGACTTTTTACGCAACATTTTGCCTTCCTTGTTTGCCTGCGTCTGCTCGGTAGCGCATCATTTTCTGTTGGAGCGCTTTGATTTCGGGCAGAGACGTACTTAGCCCTTCTCGTCAACTTGAGAGTGAGTACTTCTTCCTTTATTTTTTTTACTTGGTCGCCCTCGTTTCACTACGCATTACCTTTGATATTTCAAGGGTAGTTGTTTCTGAAAAGGAAAACCCCAACTTTGCGGACACCCTATATACAGGGTATTTTCAAAGTTGAGTCATTTATTTTAACTGCTTGTAAGACTCGTCAAAGGTTGCATAATAAAAGAAATAGTAAAAGATTATTTTTTTTAAATGTTAGCGTGTTTTGTTTACTACTCGTATCGTTTATCTAAATCTGTCAAACCTTTTGTGTTATTGTATGATTTTCAGTACGAGTCTTTGGTTCGATCAGTGTGTTGAAGTGTTTGTTTTTATTCATTGCACTGATCAACAGCCAAAAAATATCCTAAATAAAATCAACAAAATATTACTATTTTTAATGTGCTAAAACCGGAATGAAACTTATATTTTTTCATTATTAGTTCAAGTTTTAGAGATACGGTATATGTGTTCCTGCTGTGACAGTGTTAATATCACAAGAATGCACGTGCTACATTTTTATATTCGGCAAGGAAAGATGATGTAATCGGCATGATTGTGTTACGTTATACATACGTGTACATTATATTGTTTTATATTAGCCATTTTTCCTCAGTTGGCTGACAGCGTTTATGCAAGATGTCTCGAAAGTGTGTAAACAATCCAGATCAGTTTTGTTACGTGTGTGGTGATGTGACTTTTGCGTCTCAGAGAGGGTCTATTACTCCACTAAAAGAAAAGCATATCAGCTTTATTTCGATTGTAAACTAGGTGATCAAGACAAACAGTGGGCACCCCACATCTGCTGTAATACATGTGCTTCAAGTCTGGGGAGCTGATTAAATGGCAAAAAACGGTCTATGCGCTTTGCTATCCCAATGGTTTGGAGAGAGTCTACAAATCAAATTAATGATTGTTACTTTTGCATGGTACCTTGTGTTGGACAAGCCACAGGTATGTCCAAGAAAAAAAAATCGGTTATTAACTACCCAAACATACCATCTGCGATGAGACCTGTGCCTCACAGTGACGAAAATCCTATTCCAAAACCCCCAGAATCCTACACTTGCGAATCAGAAAACGAATCAGATCATGGCGATCAAGTGATTCGTCAGGAAGAAGATATGCCATCAACGTCAAGAGATCCTGAGTTTATACCGAGCACGTCATGCCACCAACCGCACAAAATAACACAGTCAGAATTAAATGATCTTGTAAGAGATTTAGAACTTCCAAAATGTAAGGCAGAGTTACTTGGATCAAGACTGCAGCAGTGGAACTTGTTAGAAGACGATGTTTCGGTATGTGTTTTTCGTAAACGCCACAAAGACTTAGAACCATTTTTCAATATGGAGAATAACTTGGTTTTCTGCAGTAACATTAACGGCTTACTGGCGGCTTTAAATATAAACTATAACCCAGAAGAATGGAGATTGTTTATAGACAGTTCAACATTGAGTTTAAAGGCAGTGTTACTGCATATTGGAAATATTTTATCATCTCTTCCTGTAGGGTATGCAGTTCACATGAAAGAAACATATGACAATATGATGATGAGCACCAATGGCATATTTGAGGCGATTTGAAAGTTGTTGCACTTTTACTTGGGCTGCAGCTAGGCTACACAAAGTTTTGCTGTTTTTTGTGTGAATGGGACAGTCGGGCAAAGGCACTTCATTACACCAGACAAAACTAGCCTGTTCGTCAATTCCTAGAGCCAAGTCAAAAAAATGTACAGCATATGCCATTAGTAGATTCGAAAAAAAATTTATTACCACCACTGCATATCAAGTTGGGCCTAATGAAAAACTTTGTCAAGGCATTAGATAGAGATGGGTCAGCTTTTCAATATGGGTCAGAAATTTCCAAGACTAAGTGAGGCAAAGGTTAAAGAAGGTATTTTTGTTGGGCCACAGATTCGAAATATTTTGAAAGATACACAGTTTGAAAACACTTTAACAGGTATTGAAAAAACTGCTTGGAATGATTTCCGTCTGGTGGTCACTAATTTCTTGGGAAATAGAAAAGCTGACAACTATAAAACCCTTGTCAAAAATATGCTGTCATCGTATCAAAAGATGGGCTGTAATATGTATCTTAAGATACATTTCCTACACTCACACCTGGACTTTTTTCCTGACAATTGCGGAGCCGTAAGTGATGAGCACGGCGAACGTTTTCATCAGGATATTTCAACAATGGAAAAAAGGTACCAGGGAAAGTGGAATCCTTCCATGCTTGCAGACTACTGTTGGACTCTTGGTAGAGGTGCTCCAGAAACGATCCATAAAAGAACAGCAAAAAGACAGCGCATATAGTGATTCTTATAAGTATATGAATCTTGTTACTTTTTTTAATATATCCTTAAATATAAAAAGTTTTTTTTCTAAACCGGAACTAATTTTTTTATTTCATTGTCATTTTTGGATTCAGCGCCCCAAAATTAACAAAGAAGTGCACTTTTCCCACAAGGTACAATTAAAAAACTAAAATTTGTTGTCCAGTGTTGTTGGTTCCTTTAATCCACAATGTTTATGTTTATATACAATGTTTATGTTGTAAAATAGTCAGAATGACCGTTAAGTAATTGCATATAACTTTTCTGTGTTAGTCTTTGCATTTGACGCAAAAGATGAGAACATGAATAAGGAGTATTATTATTGCCCATTGACACTTTTCCGTCTTGAGATTCACAACACACTCTTACTCTGTGTATTCTTAGAGGATACAACAAGTCCTACATTACAAAATAATACGTTATTGCGATACGTACTTTTATATTTGATGAGCAAAATACAATGAATTCTGTCCAAACAACAGCGAGCTATTATTCTGTGCCTTAGGCGTGACAGGTACGTTTGTTACAGGCTTCTACAAACAACTTCCAGAACCGGTATCTAGCGAGGAGTGCCGACGACTCCGGTATCGCAGGCAAAGCGACTCCGTCAAGAAACGTGTCAAACAGAATTTTTTGAATATCTGGTAAGTAAAATGTTATTTTAATTATGAATGCTATGGTCTTCATATAGGGCCCTGATTGCTGTATGCATGTGAAACAACATCATATTGCCAGCAATGTAACGAAAACACCAGTGTAATTTATTACCCTTAAACTAATTTGTCGCAACGCTGTATGACTAATTTATAAGCATGTCGACTTTGTAGTTTGAAATGAGAAGCTTTCCAGCGTCTTCGCCAAAGTTCCAGATCATCCAAACGATACTTATTATTCAATGGCGAGTAGACAGTATCTCTATAGCACCACAATCGCCGGCATCTTGCGGCCAGAGGGGTCACGATAGACAATCAATTCTGATACTTTGTGATGTCTTATTTCGAAAGAACATATTTTTTCCGCTAAAGAATATCCAAGAGATATTGTTTAACCATTATTGCACTTGGTGTAAAACTCGCAATGTCATGTTAGAGCTAGTCCATTCGCAACGACGTAAACGAGTTGTTTTATGGGAACACCAGGACCTAAGGTCTTTATTGGTCAAGTACTTCGCTGTGAAAATTATTATCAGACGTTGTTTAAGAAAAAATAATTTCCAGTTGGGTTCTAGTCGTTCATTAGGAGAGAGATTGATCACATAGTTCGTGATATCTTGTATATTATATTATGCTCCTCTAAAAAAAACATAGTATATTCACGCTGATGCTAGATACAAGTTTAAAACGATATCTGATCCTAAAAGCTGCGTGTCAAATCATCCGAAGATGAATTTTTATCGATTAATGATTAATAAGCATTAAAAACCTTAGCGTTACTTTACAGATTTTGAACTATCCGAAGTTTTTATTGGGGTAACGAGTTTCTGATGGGATTAACTTTTTAAGTGGCTTTAAGGCCGGTTTAACGGATCCTAGATTATGCCATTAGTTGAATAAGGCACAGTTTAAAGTCGTTTCTTGAAACCGTTATTAACTACCCCGGGAAAAGACTGTAAAAGATTCTTTGTTAATAATGATGATAAGAAGATTATCTTTGAAGTGCCCTGCGTTTTGGGACTAATCGTGTAATTTATATCAAAAATATACGTATCTGATACATGACATACGTCAAACGTTCAGCGTTATAAGCGGAATTTTTAAATCGATGCCAAACAGCCGTGCATCCGAGATTTTGAAAACAGCGCGAGAATGTCACCTGATGATACTTTATAATTTCTCAAAGAGTGCCCCATCGACTTTTTCATATGGCAGATACGCAGACAAACGAGAACAAATTTATTATCGTTTTATCGTTATTAATATTATTTAACGGGTTGAGACAGTCTGTATTTTTCAAATGTTTTGAGCGACCTATTTTGCAGTAATTGTTCTTAATACGTTTGTTATATGTCTCATAATTGTTCATTGGATCTTAAAAAAGTCTGCTTTGTCAAGAATCTGTTTTTTTGTTTTAGCTATCTGTCTCTTCCTTGATACTGTGGTATTTATAAACGCTGATGTCGTGCAATTTATTAAGTAGTGTAACCAGTTTAGCTGACGATCTATTTAATTTTCTTGTTATACGTATTTGTGGCTAGCTCAGATTAGCCTGTCGCGAACGCAATCCTCTATGAACTGATAACAGCGTTGCGTGTGAAATGCAGAGTCAACCTACTTGACGCCTTTTATTTGAAATAGATATAATCAATTCACTATTTTTTTTAATTGGGCAATATGAACAAGTTTTCAAATTGTATTGACCTACATTGAGGCCACATTCACCTCATTTCAAAGCCTTATTGCCAGACATGGGATACATTCACCATTTTTAAATTGGACATCAGTTCCTTAGATTTGGAAATTGCATCAACCATTTTTCAAAATAGTGTTGCTAAAAATCCGCAATACTTTTGAAACTAAACTGTTTTTCTTCTATTCATCATTTTTCAAAATGAAATTGTAGAGTCAACCTACTAGACACCATTTATTTGAGATGGACCGACATCCATTATATCACGCATTCACCATTTTTTGAAATCGGACGATATAAATAAGTTAGACCTCGCTTTCGCCATTTGTTTAATTGGTTTGTCGACATATTCACATTGATACTGCATTCACCTTTTTTCAAAGCCTGGTTGTCAAACGTAACATACATCCACCATTTTTTTTTTTAATATCAACAGTTCCTCAGATTTGGAAATTGCATCAACCGTTTTTCAAAATAGTATTGCCAAAATCTACTGTTGTTCACATCCACAATCACTTTTGAAATGAAACTGTTTTTCTTTTATTCATCATTTTTCAAAATGCAATTGTAGAGTCAGCCTACTTGACGCCATTTATTTGGAATATACTGACATCCATTATATCACGCATTCACCATTTTTTTTTTAATTGGGCAATATGAACAAGTTTTCAAATTGTATTGACCTACATTGAGGCCGCATCCACCTCATTTCAAAGTCTTATTGTCAGACATGGGATACATTCACCATTTTTTAAATTGGATATCATCAGTTCCTTAGATTTGGAAATTGCATCAACCGTTTTTCAAAATAGTGTTGCTAAAAATCCGCAATACCTTTGAAGCTAAACTATTTTTCTTCTATTCATCATTTTTCAAAATGAAATTGTAGAGTCAACCTACTTGACCATTTATTTGTAATGGATCGACATCCATCATAAATTATATCATACATTCACCATTTTTTTTTAAATTGAGCGATATGAGTTAGGCGTCGCATTCACCATTTTTTTACATTATATTGTCGGCATACTTGGAAATTGCATCAACTGTTTTACAAAATAGTATTGCCAAAAATCTACTGTTGTTCACATCCACAATACTTTTGAAATTGAACTGTTTTTCTTCTATTCATCATTTTTCAAAATGAAATTGTTGAGTCCACCTGCTTGACGCCATTTATTTGAAATGGACCGACATCCATTATATCACCCATTCACCAAGTTTTCAAATCGTATTGACCTACATTGAGGCCGCATTCACCTCATTTCAAAGCCTTATTGCCAGACATGGGATACATTCACCATTTTTTAAATTGGATATCATCAGTTCCTTAGATTTGGAAATTGCAGCAACCATTTTTCAAAATAGTGTTGCTGAAAATCCGCAATACTTTTGAAACTAAACTGTTTTTCTTCTATCCATCATTTTTCAAAATGAAATTGTAGAGTCAGCCTACTTGACGCCATTTATTTGGAATGTACCGACATCCATTATATCACGCATTCACCATTTTTTTTAAATTGGGCGATATGAACAAGTTTTAAAATTGTATTGACCCACATTGAGGCCGCATTCACCTCATTTCAAAGCCTTATTGCCAGACATGGGATACATTCACCATTTTTTAAATTGGATATCATCAGTTCCTTAGATTTGGAAATTGCATCAACCGTTTTTCAAATAGTGTTGCTAAAAATCCGCAATACTTTTGAAACTTAACTATTTCAAAGTCTTATGGCCAGACATGGGATACATTCACCATTTTTTAAATTGGATATCATCAGTTCCTTAGATTTGGAAATTGCAGCAACCATTTTTCAAAATAGTGTTGCTAAAAATCCGCAATACCTTTGAAGCTAAACTATTTTTCTTCTATTCATCATTTTTCAAAATGAAATTGTAGAGTCAACCTACTTGACCATTTATTTGAAATGGATCGACATCCATCATAAATTATATCATACATTCACCATTTGTTTTAAATTGAGCGATATGAGTTAGGCGTCGCATTCACCATTTTTTACATTATATTGTCGGCATACTTGGAAATTGCATCAACTGTTTTACAAAATAGTATTGACAAAAATCTACTGTTGTTCACATCCACAATACTTTTGAAATTGAACTGTTTTTCTTCTATTCATCATTTTTCAAAATGAAGTTGTTGAGTCAGCCTACTTGACGCCACTTATTTGAAATGGACCGACATCCATTATATCACGCATTCACCAAGTTTTCAAATCGTATTGACCTACATTGAGGCCGCATTCACCTCATTTCAAAGCCTTATTGCCAGACATGGGATACATTCACCATTTTTTAAATTGGATATCATCAGTTCCTTAGATTTGGAAATTGCATCAACCGTTTTCAAAATAGTGTTGCTAAAAATCCGCAATACTTTTGAAACTGAACTGTTTTTTCTTCTATTCATCATTTTTCAAAATGAAATTGTAGAGCAGCCTACTTGACGCCATTTATTTGGAATGTACCGACATCCATTATATCACGCATTCACCATTTTTTTTTAAATTGGGCGATATGAACAAGTTTTAAAATTGTATTGACCCACATTGAGACCGCAGTCACCTCATTTCAAAGCCTTATTGCCAGACATGGGACACATTCACCATTTTGTAAATTGGATATCATCAGTTCCTATTTGACGCCATTTATTTGGAATCCATTATATCACGCGTTCACCATTTTTTGAAATTGGACAATATGAACAAGATTTCAAATTGTATTGACCTACATTGAGGCCGAATTCACCTCATTTCAAAGCCTTATTGCCAGACATGGGATACATTCACCATTTTTTAAATTGGATATCAATAGATTTGGAAATTGCATCAGCCGTTTTCCAAAATAGTGTTGCTAAAAATCCGCAATACTTTTGAAACTGAACTGTTTTTCTTCTATCCATCATTTTTTAAAATGAAATTGTAGAGTCAACCTACTAGACACCATTTATTTGAAATGGACCGACATCCATTATATCACGCATTCACCATTTTTGAAATTGGGCAATATGAACAAGTTTTCAAATTGTATTGACCTACATTGAGGCCGCATTGACCTCATTTCAAAGCCTTATTGCCAGACATGGCATACATTCACCATTTTTTTAATTGTATATCAGTTCCTTAGATTTGGAAATTGCATCAACCGTTTTTCAAATAGTGTTGCTAAAAATTCGCAATACTTTTGAAACTGAACTTTTTTTCTTCTATTCATTATTTTTCAAAATGAAATTGTAGAGCAGCCTACTTGACGCCATTTATTTGGAATGTACCGA